AGCTGCTCTTGGATGTTGGGATTTGAGGGGAGCTGCCCCTGGATGGCGGGATTTAAGGGGAGCTGCCCCTGGATGGTGGGATTTAAGGGGAGCTGTTCCTGGATGATGGGATTTTAGGGGAGCTGCCCCTGGATGTTGGGATTTGAGGGGAGTTGCCCCTGGATGTTGGGATTTGAGGGGAACTGCCCTGGGATATTGGGATTTGAGGGGAGTTGCCCCTGGATATTGGGATTTGAGGGGAGTTGCCCCTGGATGTTGGGATTTGAGGGGAGCTATTCCTGGATGTTGGGATTTGAGGGGAGCTGCCCCTGGATGGTGGGATTTGAGGGGAGCTGCCCCTGGATGGCGGGATTTGAGGGGAGCTGTTCCTGGATATTGGGATTTGAGGGGAGTTGCCCCTGGATATTGGGATTTGTGGGGAGCTGCCCCTGGATGTTGGGATTTGAGGGGAGTTGCCCCTGGATGTTGGGATTTGAGGGGAGTTGCCCCTGCATCGTGGGATGTAAGGGGAGCTGCTCCTGGATGGTGGGATTGGAGGGGAGTCACCCCTGAGTGGTGAGATTTCAGAGGAGTTGCCTCTGGCGTCTTTTATTTTTGTCCCCATTTTCTACATTGGTGTGCCTAATTTCATGATGAGAAAATAAAGAGAAAGGAAAGGTTGCAAAGTAGCTCCAGATGAGAAAGGAGAAGAAAGGTGTCTGAAAGCATGTGGGCATGGAGAATAAAAATTCCAGGAGAAGGTGGATATTTTTAATATTCATGAAGATGAAAACTGAATAGCGGAAGTCGAGGGCAACAGGTGTATCAGATTCCTGCATTGACCAGATGCTCACCAGGCAGCCCCCTTACCTCCCGAGGAGGACGATGGTGGTGTGAGCATGGAAGGCAGGCTTGACTGGCATCTGAGCACCTGTGGTCCGCATGAGATCTGCCCAAAGGAGGGATGCATGATGTTTTCTAGGGCCGTTAAAAAGGGGGAGATGGGATTTTGGATGCCCAAGACAATGGTGACTTTTATAGGGGATCGTGGGGCTTGTGCTGGGCCTTTAGTTGTGGTGCCTGGTCGGGGGAGATGCCCATGCTGTACTTGTCTTCACTGAGTCCTAGTGCAGCTGCCCACAGGCCTGGCCAAGGTGTTGGAGAAAGGCTCTGGAAAGGAGAAATTAGCCCTGTCTTGGGCAGAGATGTGCCTTGGAGTCTGACATCTACATGGTGGGTGGTCTGGGACCCACATCTAGAATCTTCCAAATGCCCCTGTCTCTCCTGCCTGTGAAACACCCCGCTCTTCTCTTAAAGGTATAACTTCCCATGTTTGGGTTACAAAGGTTCGCTTATCTTATTAAGGAGTTCCTAATCCTAGTTCAGCTTTCCTTCAGGTTTTCTGGATGAATGATCTCAAATGCTCCCCTTGTAGCTCCATTGTGATCACCTGGTTGTCTGAGGGAGGTTCGTATCTAACAATCCTACCTTCCTAACAACCCCTGCAGTGCACACAGAATACCTCTAGCATGAACAGCGTGAGGGTTCCACCTGCCTTTTGACCATGAAGGAGACAGACAGGGAGGCTGTTGCGACAGCAGTGCAGAGGGTTGCTGGGATGCTGCAGCGCCCGGACCAGCTGGACAAGGTGGAGCAGTACCGCAGGAGAGAAGCACGGAAGAAGGCCTCCGTGGAGGCCAGGCTGAAGGTGAGCAGAGAGATCACGGCCACTGCCCCACTCCCAGGCAGCACAGAGCCGTCAGGTTCGCTGCGATGATTTTGCTGAACTAGCCTTTGTGGTGATGTGGGAGGAGGCAGAGCTGGGCTTTCTTGAGCAGTTACTTTCAGCAGTGTATTACCAGTCAGTAGCTTTGCTTAGAAGACAGTGCGAATGGTGAAAACACCCAAAGGAATATCCTTTTAAATACCCTGAGGCTGGGCGCAGTGGCTCATGCCTGTAATCCCAGCACTTTATGAGGCTGAGGCAGGTGGATCACTTGAGGTCAGGAGTTCAAGACCAGCCTGGCCAACATGGTGAAGCCCCATCTCTACAAAAATACAAAAAATTAGCTGGCATGATAGCAGGTGCCTGTAATCCCAACTACTCCGGAGGCTGAGGCAGGAGAATCGTTTGAACCCAGGAGGCAGAGATTGCAGTGAGCCTTGATTGCACTCCAGCCTGGGCAACAGAGCAAGACTACCTCTCAAAAAACAGCACCCTGAAAGTGTCTACTGTTTTCAAACAACACTGTTAAGAGTGAGAAGTCTTATTTAAAGCTCTTCTACAGACACCACTAGAGGGCGTTTTGTTCCCATCATTTTAACTCACGTTTAATACAGAACACATCTGAAGCTCAGGTTCTGGTTCTGTGTGGGTCAGCCATCCTGGGGCCAAGAGTGGTCCTGGCTGAACAGCAGGAGCCCCTTCCCCGAGCCAGTGAAGTCCTGATCGTTCTCTCTGCCTCGATAAGACCTTTTAGGAAAGTAGGGTTCCTGGGAGAGCATAGGTGGCGTTCTTCTGCAGGTACCGTAGCAGGCCACGGCCCAGGGCGTCCTTCTGCA